CTGCCCATTAGATGAGCTTCACAACACATCACTACTATTGCTGACCCTGTATGCCATCAAACAATAATGGGGACTCTCATTTCTCAAAGCCAATTCCAGCTCACCATTTGTGATATGATTTGTTTTTCTAGTAATGCTGACCCCCCAAAGCTGTCCTTTGGCTCCTTTACACCCCATGATTGTCTCATCATTCTTGGCAGGGTTGCTGCCTTGAGGTATCACATCACCGATACAGTTGACTTTGGGCCATGCATGTATGTGACCAAATCTGGCAGATTGAACTTCTAAATCACTGTGGAGGAAGGCCGAAGCAGCTCTTTGTACACAGACAGGATTGCCGGTATTTTGATTATGTCTGTGGCGGTCAGTGAACATATTTGTGACGCATCTTCATTCAAAGGGACATTCATTACTCATAGGTGCAATGAAAGGGCAGCTCCAGGCAGACAGATAAGTGAGACACCTATATAGGAATGTATTACATGCCAAAAGATTTGTAAAGAGCTGACCTCTTGGTATCCACCCATCCGTCCTGAGCTATATGAGTATGCAACCTAAGAAGTGTGACAATCATTCTTCCGAGCATGCAGCTCAACTATGCTGCCTCCCGCCTGTCCCTTGGGGTATTAGTGACTTTGCTGGCACCAGTGATGCCCATCCTGAAACCCTGAACTCTGAGCAGAAAAAATTTCAATTAAATGTATTTCGTAATAGCTATTTGTGTGCATGTAATGCCCTTGCAAATGCAGATCGTACCTTGTAAAAGTAATGGTACCATCATCAACTTGCTGAACACTACCTGTACCAAGATTAGAGCTGTGGAAGGGACCTAGCTGATTTTCTACTATAGGCTGCCTACAGGAAATTACGGGAGAGGGTGGATACAAGGCCAGTCACCCTGCATAAGGGTAGAGAGCAGGAGTGACTGGTCTTTATTACAGGAAACTCCCATACAGAGGAAAAGTGCAGAAATGATTACATGCTGGATTACTGTGCAGAGTTGAAAGAAATACAGAAAGGACTCCAAGATTCAAGTAAGAATACACAGAACTCTTTATTTAGACAATGTTTATTTAGCCTGGAGTTCAGTTCAAGTACCTGTTGTTCCTCCTCTATACAGAGTGTAGGCACTCCCGTTGACTGCCTAATTCCAACTTTCATTTGGTGTGTGGCAGGTCAATATGAGGACAGATTTCAGGTTATTACATTAGCTTAATGGAAGTAAAAATATGTTATGGGTTTTACAAGAAAAGTTTAGCAGTTTATATACATTTAACAGAAGTTATTCTATAATCTCTTGAAAATGTGTAATCATACTATAGTAAGGGCTGCCATCCTTGTCTCTCCTCTCCTTTCCAGCGCACCACTTTGTCCTTATAGATTATATAGATATTATTGATGACTGTGCATGGACAACTTGCTGGGAAATCTCTGCGAGCCTGCTGGGAGTTCTATCACCCACAAGTGCCTGATATTGCTTGATTTAACATCTACATGGCTTTGTTCTATCTAGAGATGCTTGGACCAGACTTATTGCTTCTATCAGTCCATGTATGCACGCCCTTCAAGTGTAACCACCCTTCAACTAGAAATCATACCCCACATATTCACTATCTAAGAAGCATGTTGACCTGCCAACAGATACATGCACATGCATGCTTATATTCTATATGGTCATAAGTATGTGGGTACCCTCCAAATTATTGAGTTCAGCTGTTTCCAGTGAATGGTATTGTCAATGCTATGGCACACAAAGACATTTTAGACAATTACGTGTTTCCAACCTTGAGGCAACAGTTTGGGGAGGGTCACTTTCCGCAGCATGACTGTGCCCCTGTGCCAGGTCCATAAAGACATAGTACGACAAGTTTGATGTGGAGTAACTTGAGTGGCCAAGCCCTGAATTCAACCCTACTGGAAAGCCAGCCATGAGCCTGGTCATCTGCTCTAACATCTGTACCTGTGCTCACAAATGCTCTTTTGGCTGAATGGGTGCAAACCTCTTTAGACACACTCCAAAATCTTGTGGAAAGCCTTCAGGAAAGAGTGGAGGCAGTAATAACCACAAAAGGTTGGGCAACTTAATATGAATGCCCTTGGTTTAGAATGGGATGTCCAGAAAGCTAAAAAAGTTATCCACAAAGCTTGGGCTGTATAGAGTATCCTATTACCATGCATGTCTGTGTCCTGTACTGCTCTTATCCAGAGAAACAATAGAATAGTGTTTCCCATAGTACAGGATGTTGACAAGTGGTGGACACTCGCTGTTTTTACAGGGCTCTTGGTTTTTGCGCAGAACTAGTCAGTGATAAAAAAAAATTACTTTCGTAAGGGACATATACCTTTGAGAGATACCCTGGGGAACATGGTGCAGGGTTTTTTTTGTTAAAGTTACACTAAATCGAGGAGTTAACCTTAAAAATGCATTCAAGTATTTTAACTATTAACAAAAACTTAGCTTATTTGTGTATCACTCGGCTGTAGATCCTCAAATCATCTCAGAATTAATGCTGACACTGTCTTTCGTTCTGGAGGGGGGCTGCTTTTGTTCCCCATGGTCCCTGTGTATGTTTTAAAGTAGTCACTGCTCCAAGCTCGCTCCCAGGATGGACTACAATCTCATTCTTGGGTTACTAATGTGTATTGAGATTATAGTCCATCACAGGAGTGAGCTTGGAGCAGTGACTACTTTACAACACACACAGGGACCATGGGGAACAAAACTAGCCCCTCTCCAGATGGAAGGACAGTGTCAGCACCAATTCAGAGATGATTTGAGGATCTACAGCCGAGTGATACACAAATAAGATACATTTTTGTTAGTAGTTAAGGTACTTGAATGCATTTTTAGGATTCTACCCCTGACTTTAGTGTCACTTTAAGGGATGTGTAAGAGAAGACATTCCTAACTGAATGATCACCGCATAGGTGGGTAACGTGATCTTTTCTAATATTGCAAGTGGTGCCTAGAAACTGCAAAGGGTTAAAGTTTGGTAAAGTTCAGGTAACACAGCAATACATTTTAGGTCAAAAGATCCAGCTTAGCTATTAGTTTGCCTCCTCGCTAGTTCCAGAAGTCTGGAGTGACTGCTGAGATCTGTAATACACCACGGGTATATCCCCGTCATCATCTGATCCTTCCAGTTTCTTCTGATACCCACCTTGTCTGATCTTGATGGGCACCATAAACTGCTCTATGTATGGGCTTCCCTACACGTGGTGCACATTTCTCACCACTGACAGCGACAGGTAATAATATCTCCTGAGTACTTTATGTCTTTACTTCACTGATGTAGTGTACACTTGCACTGTAAACAGTTAAACACAACATAAACTAGCTACTATACTCACCGTACATGACATACACGTTTCATGAGGTCATTGCCCCTGAAAATGTCTCCTTCTACCGTCTGAGCATGGAGATTTCCATAGATCTATGCAGTGTGTCTGCGAGATGAAGCCCGAATTGTGGAATGACTGCACACACTGTAATCCCAGCTCCTCCTCTGACCTGCTAGTGAAATTCACAGAGAAACAAGCCCTTCAGTCAGCTCCACTGCAGCCCCTTCTGTGACTATTCATACCCTGCTAACCTTTACCTTCCACTGGAAACAAAGCCAACTATTTTTATGTTTTTATTTATTTATTTACATGTTTTTCTTGTCATTACTTCAAATTTCCCCCATTGGGGTTTTTTCTTTCTTGAATTTTTTTCCCCAATTTGTTTTTCCCAACATAGTGATGTCTCCAGTGCCACTGTGTCTCTCTCCATTCCAATTTTATTAGATAAGAGTGTGAAAACAGTTTACCCCCCAAAGAATGTTCTAATAGGCTGCTGATATGATCTCCACGTTGTAATTCCACTCAGCAAACTGAAACATACCAGGATCCACAGGGAATCTGATTCAGCCCCAGTGAGTAAAGTCCCTCTTCTTTTTTTTTTTACCGCAATATGAAGTGAATTGATTTCAAGAGAAAGCTAATACATTGATAGAGTATGCTACCTGTTGGAAAGCAATGCATGCCTGTTTTCTAAACTCCAGGGGGTCCAGTTTTGATCCTGTGTAACTGCAGATGAATAGTGATCTGGAACCTTTTTTTTTCTTTTCCTTTTTCCTTAAATCTATTTGTTTGTGGTGTCACATTTCTGCAGGAATGTACGAAGCACTGGGGACCCATCGCAGTGTGTCGAAGCGAGCAGCATAATCTTCGCAGCAAAGTGACATCTCAAAGTTCATGCTTAATAACACTCGCTGAGCCAATGAATCACTGAGCAAATAAGCAGCAGGGGAAAAATGGTTGTGCGAAGTGTTTTAAATTCCCTGCATATTTTTATATTATTCTACAGATTGTCTGCATTCCAAACCGCGGGCGATAACACGTGCATTTATATGTTCCTTTTTTATTCTCCTCTCTCTTATAGGAACCGTCTCTGTACTGTACTTTTTATCTTTTAATAAACTATGAAATGCATCATGAATACTGCAGATGCAAAGCAGATTGTCTTTCAGTGCTTAGGGCAGCTGGCAAATCATAGTTGCTTGGGATTTTACTTTTGGTATAAGTGGTGTGTGTATCTTTTTTTTTCTTCTTTTTTTTTGTGACTTTTAAACAATACCCTATTGCTGCCTGGGGTGTGTACAGCTTTAAGAAAGAGGCGTCTGTCTGAGAAATGACGTAGGAATGTTAATGAGTAACTCTTCAAGAAGAAAAAAAAAAAAATCTTCCTCACTGCACCATGTGTGGTAATAGGCTTGGCTGCCACACTATTTAAACAGAGGATATACTAAGGAACAAGGAGTATCAATGAGATCAAACAGGAGATGCCCCACCATCAATGAGAAGGGAGGACAGGCTGTGTCACCTTAGAGAACCCTTAACACAAAGGAAAAAGAGCTCAACAATATTAGCTGTTACTTTGTAACAATTTTCTTATTTTTAATTTTAGTTTAGAGATTGCTGAGTTTAAGATTTTGCCCTCCCCGAGGATTAGGCTTGTGTAATTTTTTTTTGTCATTTTTTTTTTTTTAAGATGTCTTCGTTTTTATTGTTCAACGTCGTAATGGTGACTTTGGTGATTGTTGCAAAGAGCAGCGTGGCGGATGATAAAAAAGTGAATATGTTAGTCCTTTTGCCCAAGGATGATAGCTATATGTTCTCGATAAATAGGGTGAAGCCTGCCGTCGACTATGCCATGAGGTCCGTAGAGAAGAATAACAGTCTCCTGCCAGGCTTTACGTTCAACGTCACATTTCAGGACTCAGACTGCGGCAACCAGGCGCTTTTTAGCCTGGTCGACACGGCGCTGAAGCAGCAGAAACCGGACGCCATCCTGGGTCCGGTTTGCGAGTACGCCGCGGCGCCCGTGGCAAGGCTAGCCTCCCATTGGAACATCCCCATGATCTCAGCCGGGGCGCTGGCCATGGGGTTCATGCAGAAGTCCGAAGAGTACTCCCACCTAACCCGAGTGGCACCTGCCTACACCAAGATGGCCGAGGTGTTCTTAGCCATGTTTCGCTACCACAAGTGGAGCAAGGCGATGCTGCTGTACAGTGACGACAACTTAGAGCGGAACTGTTTTTTCACCTTGGAAGGGGTCCACACTGCCTTCAAGGAAGAAGGTTATCACATGTCCGTCTATAACTTTCACGAGACAAAGCATGTGGATCTGGAGGACATTATGCACTCCATCCAGAATAAAGAAAGAGGTAAGTGACTGGGAGCAGTGATAGTATTCCGTGCACTCCAGAGAACAGGTTCATGGGCTGGTCTGATTAACAGACATGCCAATGAGAAATAGAATTCTCCTGACCTGTAATGATGGATCTTTTTTCCTTTGCAGCAGCAATTGGATTTTGAGCAGCAGTAAAATCTTGACACTTCTCTTATCTTTTCTCACACATTAACTGCTCTTACAGTGACCAGTAGAACAACTTTGCAGATTTGTGACTGTCATAAAGGTACCCTGTACAGTGAAAGGGCTATAAATTACTGTTAAGCAGGCTGTGTGCTGAATACTTGTGTCTAATTGCTTTAATTGCCTGTGGTGTCCAGATATGTCTTATCGGAGCTCCACTGACAGAGACTGTAACTATAAGACAGTGTGTGTGAGAGGAGGAAGCTGTTTGTGGACATAAAACGCTGTAGGATTCGGAAACTGGTAATGAATTGTAAGTTAAGTAGATAGGATTAGAAGCAGGCTTATGTAAAGAGGCAAATAAAATCACTCTGCAGGAATATGAGTAATTTGAATGATTACAGACTGACTATCATAGACACAGGGGGTATTCTATCTGGCCATACACAGCAGGATCTGATCTATTGAGATACTCATTCTCTTTACCCCACATGTATTCCCATTGTTCAATAAAGCCACACTATCTTCTCATTGCAGCCTGCGAGCAATTGGAGGTATCTCTGCACATCTCTATTTTACCCACACAGATAATTGATTATCAGATAGAAAATTATAATCTGCCCGATTGAAAGCAGTGCAGATGCTGGGCTCTCCATCTCCTTCAGTGCCCGTGCTTCATAAAGGTTATTGGATGACTGTGCCAAAAACTTGTGTATCACGTCCTAATACTGGCTTGTGTTTGACCATCATGGAGCTGGACATACAAGAGTAGATCTAAAGCAATCTGATCTGTGTACAGCCAAAGACATTTCAACTTTTTCCCCAGTTGAATTTCTGTTTCGTATGCAGTTAAGCAATTCCTCCAATAACTATGGGCATGTGGGAATAATCAGTTAAAAAGAATTTCCAGCTTGCTTGAAAATGATTGCCCATGACTACTGCAGACTCTTATCCCCTTGAAGCTCTTGCTATCTGGGTAACTATAGTAAATGTTGGGGCTGGACATACATAGATCTTAAGCAATCTGATCTGTGTACACCCAAAGACATTCCAACTTTTTCCCCAGTTGATTTTCTGTTTCGTATGCAGTTAAGCAATTCCTCCAATAACTATGGACAATCATTTAAAAAGAATTTCTAGCTTGCTTGCAAATTATTGCCCTTGACTACTGCAGACTCTTATCCGATTGAAGCTCTTGCTATCTGGATATCTATAGTAAATGTTGGGATTTTTGGTCAAGTAACCCTTCTCCTGGATTAACCAGGGCAGGAATAAACTGGTTCTGCAGTTTACAGCCTATGTCATGTAGCAATAGTAGAATAACTCAAATGCATTTATTCAGGTTAGTTTGTAGCCAACCATTATCTCATTTATATGGTTGGCTAAAGGCATAGCTGCTAACATTTTAAAATCACAAGTGAGAGATTATCTCTGTCTTAGAGAACTGCCAGATATCACGGACTGCTGTTTGAAACGTATGACAAATAAACCTGGAGACAAAGTGGAGTAGCATCTCATATCAACCAATCAGATTTGTTTCACTCTCCAAGTGAACAAAAGATGGAACCTAAATAGTTGCCAAAGTTGGCCATAGATGAGTGTTGCCTGTTCCAGTCATTTGTAGCCAGATTGGGCAGCAGACTTGTGTCTGTGGCACAAGCAGATACTGCCCCTGTAATGGGGAACAATTGATCAAACAGGTTCCCAAATTATGTGATCTCTATTGTTCTCCTTGATACTCTTCAGTGCTCTTGGTGTCCCCTTCTGCCTCAATAGGTATAAACATGTACGCAGGGATGACCTGGTCAAAAAACATATTTTCTGACTGTTGGATCACATCGTATCTAAGCGTCTGACTTTCGTCTTCAGTCTATGGCCAACTCAGGGTGACAGCAACTATCTAGCAGCCTGATCTTGTATAGCATAGTATTATTTACTTTAATAATAAAATCTTCTTAGCTTTTTTTTTTATTGTAAATGCTCTTTGGCAATAAATAAATATGTAAACAAGCAACAACAAACATAAGAAAGATGTCTTTGTATTGCTGGTATGTTTGGAAGCTTTTCCAGGGACAATGCCAGGGATGGTGCCAGGGAGGCAGGGATAGCCGGCTTCTATATAATGGGTCTTCAATAATAACAGAATGTAATCCACAGCTCTCAACTCAACAGACTAATTTAAGATTGAATGCTTAAGTTGGGCATACACGATCCAATTATAGGGGGGGTTTAAACCTTTTCAGGTGATAAGCGGCTCTTGGATGTTCTGAAGGGCAACAGATATAAATCATAACGGTTGTATCCGAACATATTGACAGTTTTTATACAGATGCTTTCATTGTCTTCCGAACAATATGAGTAATCAGCTCATCTATCTATCTATCTATCTATCTATCTATCTATCTATCTATCTAGCTATCTATCTAGCTATCTATCTAGCTATCTATCATTATTATCGGTGCCATCAGTTCCATATTGTGCCACCCATAGCCAATAACTAATCAGTGGCTTGATTTGCCTGTGTGTGAGCAACCTAAGGCACGTTATGGCTCTTTGCACCGTGTTCATAAAAACAGCCCGTAGCACATACATTGCTTTAGATTAGATCTGCACACCGCCTATCGCCGTTATGCCATGTTAACTCTTGCAGGTTTGGCAGCTGCACGTGCTTGGCATTCAGCAACAGGCATTTTCCATGTCTTCATTATGTACGCTCCAGAAACCTATACCATGTACTTAGTTCTCAGCCAGCTGACCCGATACCAGGGCTAGTCGAGGAATTACAAGCATGGGAATGCAGGCACAGTACAGTGAGATATTCAGTACTGCTTGTCACCTCTGCACGGGGTTGGCCAAGGAGAAGGCTCAATAGAGTTATGTGTTAACCTGGGTTATACAAGATAGGAGGCTGGAATAAAATCGAAGAAACTGGAATTCAATGTTAACACCTCGGCAGACTCCAGTCGTGTAGTTTGCCCTGTAGAGTCCATAGTTTGGCAGTGTGTTTTTACATGTATTTATATTTATGCAGAATTCCTGTGCCAACAAAGAGCACACGCAAGCATTGCCAGGTCTTGTTACCTGTGTTAGTGAGCTGCATGACGTATTCTCTTTTTCTGAACACATAATCATTACGAGTGTGATGGTAGCTATACATTAGGGGAAATGTTCATTCATTAAAGCGAATGACCAATCAGACTTTTTTTTATTTTTTATATAGATTGAGGGAGGATTAGAACCCCTGACAGGTTTTTATTGCTATCCCGGTCTTTGTTAAAGAGACCCAGGGATCTAGTTAAAACAAAACAAAACAAAAAACTTAGCTCTTAATCCAACAAAACTGCAATGAGATTCGTTCTGTGTGAATTGACCGCCATTCGCTCATTGGTTTTAGGGATTTCTCGCACACTGTATAAAGTAGTGGCTTTTGTTCAAATGGGGCAAAATCAAATGTTCTTAAAGTATTGTCTCTTCTGATCGAATGCTCTTTGGCTATTGTTTTAACTTATTTTTGGTCAATGGTTTTTAGGACCTAAAACCTAAGGATTGGACAAATTAATATGGGATTCAGGAGCCACTGTGTCCAATTCAGGAGCCAGCAGGATTTTTATAAGAGCCAGTTCCATTGACAACAACTATAGAAACCCTCAAAAGTCAGGTGCCAGCTACAATTTTTAAGGAGCATTGGCAACATGTCTCCTGGGATTTGTCCAGCTTTATGTTAAATGTTCTCAGACTATTATTTTAGGCTATTTTCTCTTAAGATTGATTGTTCTTAGGGTCTTGGGGAATGTTACATTCATCCCGTGAAAGACAAGGGTATTATTTGTGACCTTTGCACGGATGCTAAATCACTCGCACATCTATTTTTTATTTATAAATAGATCGCTTATTGTCCTAAAGACAACAATTTTAGGAACATCTGCAACAGGGATATAGACAGCAGCAAGCTGATGTGAGGTATTTTTATTTCTGTTTACATCACTGTTGGAGATTTCACCTAACTTCTTGTCCGGTGAAATCGTTGTCACTGGGACAGGGATCAATTTTGGCTAACAGAGCCCTGAATAGCAGTAAAAACAGGATGGAGGTTCTACTCCTTAGCCACCATATTCAAAACTAAAAAGAAACGTTTCGGCTGACTATACACTCTAAAAACACTTTTTTTTTAACCTCCTTAAATACACAGCATAACCCCATAGCATTGTTGAAAAAACCCTTTCTATTGAAAAAGGGTTTAAGTATTGGTTTCATCTGACTGTAGCTGTCATACACATGTAGATGAAATCCAGAATTAGGGCTTTATGTTGCCATTCCATCTGCTCCACGTCTGCATTCATAAATCAATAGGATAAGGTAACATTCTGGGAAGATTAAAAATAAGTAAGGACAGGACGGTGGAAGGGACAGACTCGCTCATATTCGACTGATTGGGCCGGGTTGGTGCAGGTAAGAAATGATTCTTTATGTTTGGTTTTGGAGATGAGCTCATTTGAATTAACAGCCCTGTCATAGTAACATAATTATTCGTAGGTAATATTTGGAGATCTAAACAGCCCTGCAACTAGAAAAGATGGAAGGGCTATATATATATCTTCTATATAGACCAGAATTGACTCTGCTGTAGCCCTAAAAAAGACATCCTGCACCACTACCTTACAAATCACTCCATGACATTGGCACTCATGTCTAACATGTCAAGGCAGGAGATGTTTTCCCTATTCCTCCTTTTTTTCCTTTCTACACCCACCTTCCCCTATACCCCTCTCCTCCCCATCTTTTTAAGCCTTCGTTTTCATTCTCAAACACCCTACACCATCTCCTCTCTGCATAATGACACCCCTCAAATCA